GTCTTTAAATATGTACATGTAATTATGTGCTTATGTGCTTTAATGTATATAAATGGTATACTTTTATAATGAGCTACCTTCTATAATGAATTGCCCCATATTTCAGTGATTTAACACAATAAAGATTTTCACTTATACAGGAGCGCAGGTCTGGCTGGACAACTCTCCTCTACTGTGCATTTCAGGTCCCAGGCTCCTTCCATTTTCAGATGGAGATAGACTGATCCTGCAGCATAAGGCTCCCTGTCAACTTTTCACCAAATAGTTTTACTATCCATTAATGACCATTTTATGAATCGGTTATTTCACCAGGGATTACAAAATAATAATTTTCTAATGTTATTATTTTTTCTTCTTTTACTAGTTCTAATTCTGTACAGAAAAACTTTTTCACATCCGCTAGGACCATATGGTTATCCTGAAATAAAGTTCATACCAGAATGTCAAGGTAAATGCTTAAATCTGCCCAGCCCGCATGGCTCAGTGATTGAGCCTCGACCTATGAACCAGGAGGTCACGGTTCAGTTCTCAGAGCACATGCCCGGGTTTCAGGCTTGATCCCCAGTGGGGAGCATGCAGGAGGCAGCTGATCAATGACTCTGTCTCATCAATGATGTTTCTATCTCTTTCCTTCTCTCTGAAATCAATAAAGACATATTAAAAGTTATTTTTTAAAATAAATGCTTAAATCTCTTTCCTTATTTATCTATTTCAAAGTAGTAAGTTGGTGTCCTAGCAACTTGATGTTGATTTTATTTGTTTTTTTCTCTCCTTTAAAAAAAAAAAGATTTTAGAGAAAGAAACATCAATTTGTTGTTCCACTTTATGAATTCATTGGTTGCTTCTTGTATGTGCCCTGACCCACCTGCAGCCTTGGCATATTGGGACAATGTTCTAACTAACTGAGCTTACCAGGCCAGGGCTGTTTTGCTCTCTCTTTAAATTATTCTGAACTCATAGTTTTTATTTATCTAATGTCTTAATCATTTGCAGTTATTTTTGTTTTATATTATATAAAATTTCAAGCATATACAAAAATAAAGAAAATATAATGAATTTCCATGTACCCATCACTCAGCTTCAATTATTATCATCTCATGGCCAATCTTGGTTTATTTGTTTCTGCAACTACTCTCCCCCTGAGATTATTTTGAAGCAAAACTAGATATGATTCCAATTCATCTGCAAATGTATCTCTAAAAGATAAGGACTTTTATTACCATTATTGCACCTAAAAATTAATAACTTCTCAATATAATAAAATATATTTGGTGTTCAATTTCCCCTAATTTTATGATAAACTTAAAAGTTTTAGTATCAGGGTTATGCTGGCCTCCTAAAAAGAGTTAGGAAGTGTTTCCTCCTCTTTTCTAAAAGCATTTGTGTAAGATTGGCAGTATTGTTCAGTATTTAATAGAATTCATCAGTGAAATAATCTGAGCGTGGGGTTTTCTTATGGGGAGATTTTGTTTTGTTTTGTTTTTATAACAAATTCAATTTCTTTGATACATAGGCTATTCATACTTGTAATTTCAATTTGAAATAGTTTTGATAAGTTATGTTTCTCAAAGAATTTGTCCATTGCATCTAAGTTGTTGAAGCTATTAGCATAAAGTTGTTCATAACACTTGTTAGTCTTTTAAAAACTTGACTTGCAAAATAAAGCACAAATGTAGAGAATGCAGAAAAATGTAAGGCTTAATGAGTGATTCTAAGGCCAACACTTCTGTTACCACTGCCATGTCAAGAACTAAAACCTGCCCAGAAGTCCTGTCCATGGCCCCATCCCAAATATAATCCCTTTCCTCTGCCATCAGTAACCATTTCCTGACTAGAGTATTTGCTTCTTTACATCTTTTTAATAGTTTTATATCCAAATGTATATCCACAGATACTAGCTTAGTCTTGTCCATTTAAAAACAATTGATATAACTGTAAGTCTCTTAATCTATAAAGTCCCCCTTCATCACTTTCTTAATTCCTTATAATTTATTTGTGGAAGGACCTGGGCCATTTGGCTGGTAGAGTTTACTACAGTCTGGATTTTGCTGATTACATATTCATGATGCAGTTCTAAATATTCCTGTGTCGTCAGTATTTCCTGCAAATTGGTGGCTGGATCCAGAGGCTGGATCAGGCTCAGATTTGATCACTTTGGCAAAACTATAAGAAGGATATAAATCTAGTTGTCTCTATGCTTGTGATTTTTTTTCAAGTGTTGATGTTTATTGCCTGTATCCATTAATCCATTGAGGACTGCAAAATGGTGCCAGGAATTCTATAATTTTTTAATTTATTAGTTGAAATTATTTTATAAAGAGAAGCATCCTCTTATCTACTATTTGGTTTCTTTTTTTTTAATGCTCACCCAAGGGTATGTTTTTATTGATACTTAGAGAGAGAGGAAGGGAAAGAGAGAGGGAGAGAGAAACATCAATTGGTTGCCTCCTGTACACGCTCTGACTGGGGATGGAATCTGCAACCTAGGTATGTACCCTGACTGAGGATCAAACCCAAAACCATTTTGTGTATGGGATGACACTCCAATCAACTGAGCCACCCGGCCAGGGCACAATTTGGTTTCTGAGTGTATAGTTCACATAGGAAAAGCAGAATAAGTGCTTGAATCTTTCTTTTTCCATCAGTTTTCAAGATAACATATTGTATTGCTATCATCCTGAAAAAGGTGATTATTTTTTAAAATATCATTATGGATTATGGATTTATATTTGATGGGTTTCAATTAATTGGAATTATCATAATTATCCAAGTTCCAAGTACCCTAACTTTGGCCAATAGAGTTTCATTCAGTTGGCTCCTTTTGATATGACTCTTGTAATTTTTGTTGCTATTTGGTAGGACAAAATTTTCCTGGGTCATCTTATACATTTCTTGTCCCAGACTGGAATCAGCCATTCTCCAAGAAGCCTTGGGTTTTTTAAGTGAGAAATTATATTTCAAGACTGTGGCTATGCCTAATCAGTGAACAGAGCTAGGAGATTTTATATATATATATGAACTAGAGAAGAGATTAAGTAAAAACTCTTTAATCTTGAATTTGAAAGTTATCAATATGTACTCATTAGGTGTTTTATCATTAGGTGTGTGTATACACACACACACACACATATAGTCTCCCACCAGGGTCGGGGATTGAGCCTGCAACTGAGGTATGTGTCCTTGACTGGGAATTGAACCAGGACCCTTCAGTTCAAGGGCTGACACTCTAACCACTGTGCCACAATGGTCAGGGTCGAACCCACAACCTTTTGGTGTGTGGAATGACACTCTAACTAAGTCACCCAGCCAGGGTTATAATGCACATTTTATTATTTATTTATTTAAAAAAATATATCTTTATTGATTTCAGAGCGAGGAAGGGAAAGGGAGAGAGAGGTAGAAACATCAGTGATGAGTCATTGATTGGCTGCTTCCTGCATGCCCCTACTGGGGATGGAGCCCCAACCCAGGCATGTGCCTTGACCAGGAATCGAACTGTGATCTCCTGGATCGTAGGTTGATGCTCAACTGCTGAGCCACGCCCACTGGGCATACAGTGCACACTTTAGATATGAAGAAACTGAAGGTTTGAGGGATTGAGTTGTGGACAAAAAGGGGCCACGTACTAAACCTGACAAATTCAGGGGAGGCCTGCCTGGTGTCCTTACAAACTCAGAGACCTAAAGTAGCCACATGGTATTAAAATTAGCCACATTGAAATTAAAACTTTTTAACTAAAAGCAGCTCATGGAGGGTAGTCATGTCCTAGGGCTGTATTTTTCCCTAACAAAGGTCAGTCTTCACCTTAACTGAACCTGCTGGTTGTCTTTTTGCATCTACCTGATACACATGCCTTTGCAATAAAAGTAATTCCTTTTTTTAAGGACCCCTCAAAACAGCCACTGCACTAGAGTGGAGACCACAAACCCCCTCATTGTTATTATCGTGTTAATTGTTGACTTAACCATCCTGTACCCATCTTTGTGAAAGAAGTGTGATAATTATTTTACTTTTTATCCAATCCCAGAGGTTTCCCGCTTTGCTTTCTCCCGCCTCCCTAATCTATCACCAGTGGATTTCATGTAACCCACTGAGACGTCCTCTTTTGATTGTAATGTATAAAATAAGGTGCAAAATTGCCCTTTTCCAGAGCATTTTCTTAATCCATTGAAGTTTTGCTTCCTGGCAGTTGTCGTCAGTTTGGCTCAAATACGTTCGTTACAATTCTTCAGGGCACACTCAGAATGAACCAATGAGTGCATACATAAGTGGAACAAGCCAATGTTTGTTTCTCTAAAAAAATGAATAAATAAATAAAAAATTTTAATAAATATTCTTACAGGTTTGGACATTTCTTATATTGCCAGAGCCATTAAGTCTCCAAAAAACTCCAAAAATCGATTTTGCCTAGCAAAAGAAGGCAGCTTCATCCAAAACACCCGGGGCCAGAAAGAACAGATCTGTCTCCTGAAGGGTCTCTCTGCGGGCGCAGAAAACGGCAACCCCACCCTCGGGGAGGCAATGTCTGACCCCAACACCAGACTTCTGCCCCAGGTCCAGCTCAGGGGAGAAGCAGACCTGTACTTTCTATAATCCTTAGCCTTCTGCAGACAGGTGGCAACTCCTTCGCGGTCCAGCCTTGGGCAAACCGCCACTTGAGTCGCTGCGGACACAGCCCACCCGCCTCCGGAAAAAACGTCTGGGTACTAGAGCTCGAGCTGCAGGCCCTGCCCCGCCTGCTCGCCCCGCCCACCTCGCTCAACGGCTCGGGCCGCTGTTGGCCCCGCCTTTCCGCCTAAGTCCCACCTCCCAGCTGCTCCGTTGGCCTCTCCGGCTCCAGAGCTCGGAGGTAGCATCACTAGGCCCGCCCCTTCCTTGGGTCGCGAGCGCCGAACGCATCGAACGCAGCCAATGGGTGGTGCGGTAGCAGCACCGCGGGAGGTTCGATTGCCCCGGCCTGGCGGGACCGGAGAGCCGCGGCGGCTGTTAACGCGCGCTTTCGGAAGACGAAGATTAAGCCGTAGTGCTGGGAGCAAATTCATCTCGGCGGTTTTTTCCTGCTTCGTCTGGGGTACCCCTCCCAAGCCCGAGTCTTTTACTTGTCCTGCCTGGATCCCTACTCGACCACCCTCAGTCCGGGCTTCGCATCTGCAACTACGGACCTGGGAAATCCCTTCTCCCGGCTCCGGCGCCTCGCCAGGCCTCGAATTTTCACCCCAGCCTCTCTCTCCTGGCCTGTGATTACCATTTGCCCCCGTAACCACCCGCTTCCTTCACGCCCACCTGAGACCATTAGAGCGATTCCACTGTGCCCAGCCTGGCACTCCACCCATCGCACCCCGTCCCAGATCTCGACTCATCTCTGCCTGGATACTTCCTCTTCATCTGCTCTCTGGCCTCAGCTAACTAGCAACTCTCACATTTGGGCCCAACCCCCAGCCACTGGCTGAATTCCCTCCATCCATGCTCCCTCTTTAATTAGCCATGTTCTCGCTAATGTAGCAGCCCTCTCCTTACCTGGCCCCGGATCTGCATTTTCAGCTGCTGGGTACCTTTCACTTGGCTGATGGGTACTTGATATTTTCTGTTCCTGGGTCTAGGATGGTAAGTGTGGCCTAGGGGAGACTGGGTAGTCTGTGCCTGGATCTGATGGGCTCAGGCTGCAGGATTCCTGCGGGTGCTGTTTCCATTTTCTTTCAGAGGAGGAGCTTGGCTCCCAGCCAGCTGGCCAAGAGAAAACCGGAAGGCAGATCCTCTGATGATGAAGACTGGCAGCCTGGGGCAGTGGTGAGTACTCTGCCCTCAAGGGGATAGGGAAGGTGAGAATGCAGGAGTGTTTGGACAGAAAGGAATCCTGGATTTAGTTTCTGGGGTTACATGGAGTGAACCTGGTCACCTCCAGAAGCCTCTTGCAGTAAACTTAATGAGTGCTTACTGTGTGTAAGGCATTGAACAAGATAAATAAAATATTTGTCCTCAAGTGCTCACTAGAAGCTAATATAGACTCAGTTTTCCTGGTAGGAAGGGGTATTCCAAAGCAAAAGAGCACTTGGGTTGGGTCCTTTGGCTGCCTCGAAAAAAAAGTGCTCCCCAACAGCAACTAGCAGCCTGTTCTTTTGCTTTTTGTCCCTTAACCCAGTGTCACAGAATAGTAGAATGTACTGACTGGGCCTACCTGAGAGTTTTGAGCTCACTTGGACCTAGATTGGAGGGGTGGTTCCCCTCCAGTGTCTGCTAATACTCAAGTATGGTATGTTCAGCTTTGAGCTGGGCCCTGTGGTCTGCTCCCTCCTTCGAAGTTTCCTGGGGCTGGCTGTAGGCAGGATCTGTGTAAACCAAAATCAATAGGACAGTGCAGCATTTACTTCAGAGAGAGCAGTTCAAGAAGCAAGGGCTTGACCATTGGACCTTTCGAGGAAGAGATTAGTTAAAGAAGGTCTAGCTCTGGCTGGTGTGGCTCAGTGGGAGGCAACTAATTGTGCCTCTCTCACATCAATGTTCTCTCCCTTTCCCTCCCTCCTTCCCTTCCACTCCCTCTAAAAATCAATGGAAAAAATACCCTCCGTGAGGATTAACAAAAAAAAAATAAAGAAGGTCTAGAAGGGAATTTTGGGCAGGGGTAGTTTGTGAGTAAAAGCATGTAAAGAGAAGGGAGGGAAGGGGCCTGGTGTTTCTGTTTCAGGTGTGTCATATAGGATCATTGAAGCTTTAAATACCTTGGCAAGCTGGTACAAGTGGCTTCTTCTTGCCTGATGGCTCAATGGGGCTTGTTCTGTAGTTGCACCGCTGGTGTACAGGGTGCTCCTCTACCGATGAGGGATGCACATTGGCTGCCCCTTGCCACTTATATAGGTCTCAGACTAGAACTTGGGCAGCACTTGGTGTAGCTGGGTCATAAATGGTGCTTGTCTGCTGCTAGTTGCCCCTGAAAATATTTTTGGTACTGGGGTCCTCACTGCCATGGTGTGAACTGACTGGAGAGTGGCCTCAGTGTTCTGGGAGTTGGGGACAGCTGTACTCTTTTCCCTCCTTTGGGAAACTCAGGGAGGGAAGCAAACAATTGTTCAATTATTCCTTGGGGCTTTTGGAGTAAAGATTTGGGGTCGCATGACTCCTTGCTACTGGTGGACTTGCCCTTCACAGGCCCTTTTCATTCACCTCATCCAGTACCCCATTTCAGATTAGGCAAGTTGTTGAAACTCATTAAGCTCCAATTTTCACCTGTTAAATAAGGATAATAAACACTTAACATAGGATCGCTGTGAAAATGATACATGGTAATAAGTATGAAGAGTTTTTAACAGTGCCTGGCACTAATAAGTGTATTTATTTATTTTAAAAAATAATTTTATTATTTTTAGAGAGGAAGGGAGAGAGAAACATTAATTTGTTTCACTTATTTATACATTCATTGGTTGATTCTTTTTTAAAAAATATATGTTTTTATTGATTTTAGAGAGGAAGGGAGAGAGAGAAACATTGATGAGAGAGAAGCATCAATTGGATGCCTCCTGTATGCCCCCTACTGGGGACTGAGCCTGCAACTTGGGCATGTGCCCTGACCAGGAATTGAACCGGCACCCTCTGGGTGCATAAGACGATGCCCAACCAACTGAGCCACACTGGCCAGGGCTCATTGGTTGATTCTTGTGTGTCCCCTGACCTGGGATTAAACCCACCACCTTGGTATGTCGGGATGATGCTCTAACTAACTGAGCTACCCAGCCAGGGCTTAATAAGCATTTTAAGTGCTAGTTGCCATTGTGGTCTTCTAGACTTCACCTTTACCATTACTCTCTTCTAGACTCCTAAGAAACGGAAGTCCAGCAGTGAGACCCAGAGCTGGGAGTGTTTCTTGTCCCCTTTTCGGAAAGCTTTGACCCAACTCACAAATCGACCACCCTGTCTGGACAGTAGTCAGCATGTAAGTCAGTACCTCAACCTGCTGATGTATTTGCTTCCCTCTTGCTTTGCCTAGGGAGGCTCTCACCCCTGAAGACTCTACAGAGTAGCCAGCAGACAGACTTTGGTGGGGACTTTGGGCCTGCTCACAGTTCCCGGGGCCTGGAAGAGGCCTGGCCTCTTTCTCTAGAGATGTGTGCTGATTTGGAGTCACCTTCTTTTATAAGTACTTGGGCACCAGATCTCAGGTGACTCAGATTCCTGCAGACATGAGGGTATAGGAGAGTGAAGGCCATGGCAGGGTATTGGAACCAGGATCCACTCAGTCTCTGACTCCGCATATGGCTTTGAGAAGTAGCAGAGTCCTACAGCTTTCACATGTTTCCTCTAGTAAAATAAAACATAATCAGCACAATGGCTGGTTCTGTGCATTATGTCAAGTAACTCATTTTTTTTTAGATGAGGAAGTTGAGTCTTGGGAGGGGTTTACTTGTCCAAAGTTACAGATTAACATAGTCAGATCTGCCTAGTTCCATCCAAAGCTATTTTCACCAAGCTTTTCGTGGGACAGTGATGTTGAGCTCTTGGAATTTAAATGATGATGTTTATAACCACCCCTTTCAATCACACCTGAGTTTATGTTAGTGAGATAACTTTTGTAAAGCACCTAACTTTGGGGCTGGTTGCCAGGAGAACCAATCCACCAATGACTGGCCAATGCTTAATCATTCCTTTGTAATTAAACCTCCATAAAAATACAAAAGGGTAGGGTTTGGAGAGCTTCTGAGTGGGTGTACGGGAACCTCCTCCATTTGCCTGGAAGTGGCACACCCCAAACCACATAGGTACAGAAGCTCCTATGCTTGGGACCCTTCAGACCTCGCTGTATTTCTTCATCTGACTGTTAATTCATATCCTTTGAGATAAACTGGTAATCTAGTAAGTAAGCTTTTTCTGAGTAATCAAACCCAAGGAGTGGGTTGTGGGAACCTCCAACGTGTATAGCCTGTCAGAAAGAACCACAGATAGCAACCCGGATTTGGGATTGGCATCTTTATTTATTTATTTATTTTTAAATATATCTTTATTGATTTCAGAGAGAGGAAAGGAGAGAGAGAGAGAAACATCAATGATGAGAGAGTCATTGATCGAGCCCGCAACCCAGGCATGTGCCCTGACCGGGAATTGAACCCCAATCTCCTGGATCCCAGGTCGACGCTCAACCGCTGAGCCACGCCTGGCCGGGCGGGATTGGCATCTTAAGTGGTTGCGGGGGAGACAGTCTTGTGAAGCCTTAATCTGTAGGATCTGATACTTTCTCCCTATAGATAATGTCAGAATTGAATTATATTTTAGGACACCCAGCCCTGGTTGGGTGGCTCAGTTGGCTGAAGAGGGGTCCCATACACCAAAAAGTTTTGGGTTCTAGTCCCAGTCAGGGCACATACCTAGGTTGTGGGTTCGATCCCCAGTGGGAACGGGTATGGGAGGAACCAATCAATGTTTCTATCTCACATCTATGCTTCTCCCCTTCCCCC